CCTTTGTGTTTGTTCAAATAATTGTCATGGGCAGGTTACAATATAAAAATGTTTGTCATAATCATGTCTTTATTATTTGACAGGAGTTTTACTTTTAAACTGTAAGTGTATTTAATTTAGTTATAATGTAAATACAATAAAAGTTAAACCAAGATTTAGAATAATTATCATTTTGACCCATACATTGGTAATGCCTGACTGGACCTCGTACCACTTAATGTTCAACAAATTGGGCCCCGAGGTCAAAAAGTTTAAGAACCCCTGCATAAGACCTTTGGAGCTGTGGTAGAAACCCCTCCCAGGGGTTGGTTTGTATGTATGCAGAAAGAGGCCACATTGCCAATGTAATTGTTGTCACTAATTTGAAATATATAACAACAATAAAGTAATATTAGGACAATATTATAGTAAAACATTAAAATACAATCATATTAGTATTGTAAACACTAAACTATTGAGATTAAATATTATTAAACTATGGTGCAGTACCATATTGTGTAGATGCAGCAGGGGGCAGTATTGGACCAATACAAGGCTCCATTGACTGTCATTATAATTTATTAAACATTATTATTTCAAAAACTATAAGCTCCAAAGGCACCAAAAGGCATAGCCATAATTTGGCACAGGAGCTTTACAGATATAAATTACAATGGCAGCTCTAGGACAAAGTATGCAGAAGGAGAAGCATGCCAAAGTGGAGATGACTTGGATGGGAAATGAATCACAATAGTGTGCATTGCATTGGCAGTGCACACTGATAATGTTAGTCACTAGATACCAAATTGTTTTGGTTGCCAATTCCAGTATCAGAACAAGGGGGCAAGATTTCTGAAGTTTAAATACTAATGGGTTTCAGTCAAGTCCTAAACTGTTATCCCCTGGATAAATGCATCAAGCATCTAATGATGTGTCTATAACTTTAACCTAATGTTTTTTTTCTGTTTGCTACAAAACCCTTCCTTGATTATTTCTACTGCTTCGCACAAACAAAGTAGAAACATGTTAGTCCGACTACAAGCACTCACTTCTGCTTTGTTGTTGGCTGATAGCATTCAGCTGTAGGACCATGTCTTTGTGTTATCTGTGAAATGCCTGACACTGATATCTGCTGAGAAGAAACTGACAGACTGAGAAATGACAGACGCATGCTCAGTATCTGAGCTCCAAAGTGTCTTCTGCTTTTTCCCTCAGATGTGTTGTGTAACTGTTGACATAAACCCTGTCTGTTTGTTAGCAAAATATCACATTAACCATTGAAAAGATGTTAATGAAATTCTCAGAAATTATCTGTATATCTATAACTGATTCAAGATGGCTACAACAACCAGTTGACAGACATTTTACTACTGTTCTGCTTATTTAAGTTTTTAGATATTTTAGTTTTCATTTTGGCGTATAGTTACTATTTAGCTTATTTTAGCCATTAGCTGCTGTTTAGATGTTTTTAGGTTAACTAATTTTCCGCTTTTAGCATTTAGCTACACATATGATCATTTTTGGCTCCAATTTTGCTGATTTTACATTAGAACTGTTGATTAGTTGATTTTAGCTTTTGTTTTCATAGTTTGAACTGTACCAGTTTATTTTAATTTTCAGGAAATTTCACCAGTCATACAGCATTTAGCTGCATTTTTGCAGGAAATGCCATTTTTCTAGTTTTGCATAAGATTGTCTTTACAGAGAAATCAAGTCTAACATAAAAATAAACAACAGCGTTATGGGGTGCCGTTTGTAAAGTTACACAGTCAAATATTACCACCAATATTTTTGTTTTATTTAGCCTTTATTGGTTGTTTTTTTTAATCTGAATGAGTCAACAAATTTATGGGGTGCCGTTTGTAAAGTTACACAGTCAAAATTTACCACCAATATTTTTGTTTTATTTAGCCTTTTATGAGAAAAAAAGAACAGATTTATTTTTCAGTCAGTTTTTCACCATA